CTTAGCCATTGAGCCAACTCATTTTTTATGACATTAGGGGTGTAGTTCTACTCCTTGCCTCCTTCCATAGCCTTGAATTATCATGCTGATCCAGCCTGCCCACACCATCCCAAGAAATATCTTAGCTGGAGTTTTGAGCTCTGAAGGGCTTTGGTCATAAAAGGAAAGGATAACAACAGCAGATGTTTGCATGTTCTCTTGCTTGTGGTTTCCTTACTGCATCCCATAGGCAGCCCCTGGTCTGTAATAACTGCTATAGCTGGTGGTTTTGTGGAGACAAATCACTTGCTTTCATCTGGAGAGAAACAGTGATTGTGCTGGGGGAGCATGCTCTATTTTTCATGTCTCAGTCTTTCTTATTATTTAAATTAATGCGAGTTGCAGTTGTCATGAAGTGAAGGATTGACAGCAATTAACTAGAATGGGCTTGGTGCAAGCCATTTCTGCACAAGTCTGTCCTACCTAGCTCTGTCACTGCATCTTGCTTGGGACTTAAATTCCCACACCAGCTCTGCCCTTGCACCCCCTCCTGTCCTGTAGCCCTCCCAGCCCAGAGTACCCTAGAGTATCTCTGCCCTTGCCCCACTCCTGCCTTGCAATTCTCCTGCTCTTCCAATGCGAGCTTCTCACAGAGAATGGCCACTGGCTACTCTGAGCTTTATTTACTGTCAGTGACATGGAAGATGAGATGATGAGCTGGCATCAGCCTTGTCCCATAGATGTGAGATGTAGAAGAAACAAATACCTGAGTTTCAAGCCATTCTTCTCAGTATTCATTTCCATCTCTCTGGAATCAGTCCCTGGCATACATGGGGCATCCTGCCTCTCTGAGGATGGAGCAGGGGGCTACTGCACAGTGCTTCCTTTCACATCATCTGCAGGGAGCTACTGCACAGTGCTTCCTTTCACATCTGTCTCTGCCCTCCACACTGTCCAGGGGAATCCTAAGCACAGTGTAACAGATACCTGATACTACATTTACACTGAAAGGGAGGAAAAACATCTGGCAATTTTATCTTTTCCATTAATACCAGAGAGCCTGGAAGCTCTTCAGTCCAGCAGCAGCCTGGTCTCCCCAGGAGGAAAAAGTTATTAGTCAGAACATGAAAATGCCTGGAAGCACTGTTTACCTGTAGTACTTGCCCTACTGTGGGCCTGCAGCCTGTTGTTTTGCCTCTGCTAATGGTTCAGAGAGGCCACAAACAAGTATTATCTAGTTGAGGGTCAACAGGAGATGGCTGGGCAAAAGGAGGCTCTGACACCCATTATGATTCTGGTCCCAGGAGGTTTTATTCTCAGCAATCCTTCTTCAAGCAGTCTGGGACCTGTGAAAATATAACACAACCCACACATGGGAAAAAAATAATAAGGTCAAAACTTCTCATTTTAAGACTGTCCTAAAAAGGTGTGTGCAAAGTACTGACAAGTGCCAAGGAGGCAATGCTAACTGTTGGTGGTGCTGACAGTTTTGGCATTTTAACATGCTGGCTTGACACTCTGAAAATTAAAAGTCACTGACTTTTTATTTAAGTGCAATTTTTGTCCACTGGCTTTGGATTCTAAGCAGATGAAGCCAAACCAGGTTTTAGATTTATAGGGAAAATTATTTCCTGCCCTATTCCCCTTTCTCTCAGCTTTCCCTTGCCCTCTGACCAAGGTGGCAGCTGAAAGAAATCAGCCATTATGTTCCTAACATGTTTTCAGCCTTGGATGCCCTTTTCTCCCTCATCTGAAAAAGTGGCATTCCAGATATGACCATCTGGACACATGCTCCTCCTCTTGGGCATTTGGTAGGCATGGTCAGATCTGTTTGTGTTTGCTGGCTTTACATGATCCTCTGCAAACTAAAATGACAGCTTTAGAAAGTGTTAGGGTACACACGTCATAACTGCAGCTCTGCTGCTGCTGCTGCAATCCTGTAGTGGCTTTCACTGCTCTCTCCTCAACCATTTTGGCTGGCATAGCACCATTCTGCTGGGACTTCAGATATCTGCTGGTCTTGTTTGAGCTTAATCCTTCTTGGTTTGCTGCATGGCTTTTTTTTCTCATGCAGATGTTAGCCCCTTGAGGTTATGATAACATTTCCAAAACATGGTCTAGCCACTGGTTTTACTCCTGGGCTCTGCTTACCCCCGTTTGCCAGTGCACCATGAAGAAGTTATGCTGAGGATGCTCTGAAGTCACCATCCTTGTGTCCCCTGACAGAGCAGCTGGGACACAACTCTTGCAGAAATATTATCTTCTGATGTTGTTTCCCAGACTAAGCCCCTCTGTCCTCTCCTGTGCATGTTGGTCTCATATCTGAAACACAGTATGTACTACAGGTAGCAATGCTACCACAGGTCTGAGGTGGCACTCTGAGTTGCTTTGTTCCTGGTAGAAAAGAGTAGCAGTTTAGGTTTCTGCACCAGAGCTTGCAGGGCACTCCCAGCCTGAAGGTCTTCTGTCTGGAGTGATGAGTGTCTGTCCCGAGCCATGTCCCCTCATCCACTGGGACACAGGTCTTCTGGCTGGAGTGATGAGTGTCTGTCCTGAGCCATGTCCCCTCATCCACTGGGACAGAAAGGATGTGAGTTTTGCATATCTCCAGGGATGAGTTTCCACTCCCCTCTCCAGGGAACCTGTTCCTGTCTTTGACTTCCCAAAAGTAGAAGCTTCTTCCTTATTTTGAGTCAGAAATTTCCACACATTGCAGTTCATGTTTGTTGCTTTTCACTGTGCACCTCTGAGAAAAACATGCCTCTATCTTCTCTGTACCTTCCCACTCACTATTTGTAGACAGCAATTAGATCTCCCCTCAACCTTCTCTTCAGGCTGAATAGATCCAGGTCTCTTAAGTTCTCCTTGGAAGTCTTGTGCTATAGTTCTCTGATCATCTTGGGAGCCTTGCAGTGGACTGGCTCTAGTATGTCAATGGCCTTCTTGTATTGGGGAGCCCAAAACTTACATAATGGCATCAGATGATGTCTAACAAGTACCATATAAAGGGATATAAATACTTCCCTCTACACTCTTGCTAATACAATCCAGAATGCTTGGCCTTTGCTGCAAGAATGTACTGCTAACTCATGCTGAATCTGTTGGACCCCCACATCTCCTGGACTGCTTGAGCCCAGCACTTTCACCCTTCCAGCAAATATCAAGGCAGTTGGTCCCTCACCTGGGACTGTGATTGTGAGACTTCTTCTGTCTGTCTGTCTAAAGCAGTCTTTGTTCACTGCCTCTTTTTGAACAAGTGGCTAGTAGCAAACACAGGGGTGACACTGTGATATTCTCTGATCCTTACATCTAAGCCCCCAGCTAGTTCACCATGCTGGGTGCACCCTAGCCATTCCTTTGTATCTCATTTCCTCACCATTCCAGCCTGTCTTTCTGAAAAGCCCCTAAGACAACTGTCCCACCATGGCTGTGTCATCCTGCTGTGGCTTTAAAACACTGTGAATCTGTGTGAACACCTAATTCCTTCTGTTTTCTCACCATAATACTGACATTGGTGCATAGGCATTTGAGATGGGCCCCCAGCTGTCCTGCTTTCACAAGGCATGCAAAAGCCTTCCCTATTTTGTTGGCTCCTAGCTGCTTCCTCACTGCCCTCTGCGCTGTCACTTCACGAATTAAGGCAATCCTTCCCCAATGTGTCTGACTTAAATCCCTCCTTGCTTGGGTGAGTGGCCCTATTGGCAAATACATGTCTACCTCACTTTTTTCAACAGGACTGCTTCCTCCAAGGGGCTCCCATGGTCTTAGATGCTCAAGCATTGTCCGTGAGTTTGGGTCTACAGAGAGGACCTAATGAGCTATGGGTTGTAAACAATATTCCTGTGAATTCAGCGACGCAGTTGGAAGTAGTGAGTTGCTTTCTTCAGGCTTCATTTCCTTTTTCCCGCCTTGCTTACAGGCAGCTTTGCCTCAAAAGGACCATCAGCCACTCCTGCTAGGGAAGGGGAGGCTGCTGTCTGTTTACTCTGTGGTAAGCAAAGCAGAAAATGATGTTGTTTCATTCCTCGCTACACACAAATTTGGAAGCTGAAAATACATTAAAAAAAATTAGAAGATTCCTTTTTAGTCAAACTCCCTCATCACCTCTGTGGTGTGAAGCATGGAAGCAAGACATGGATGTGAGAGAGGAGATTGCAACATCTGGCACACTCCATGCCTGGAGGTGCCTCTTCAGGTCCCAGCATGGTCATTCTGGTCCCGTGACACAAACTCGGTTAGCTTGGAAGGTCTCTAAGGATCCTGAATGTCAAGCCCTGGCTGGTCTTGCAAATCTTAAAGACCCCACTGTGCTTTTGGTGCTGTGAGGTGCAGTCATCCAGAAGCTACCTACTGCAGGTAGCCCATGGGATCCCTCTTGGCTGAAAGATGTCACAGAAACCTTCCTGCTCTCACCGGTCTGCAAATTCCCATTAGTCATGGTGCACATCCTTGCTTCTCACACTGTCACACAGTTGCAACAGAAATGAGCTTATTAGCTCCTCTGGTTCAATTCCCAGTGAGCATTTGGTTATGGGCACAGCAGAGCAGGGTGCTGGCTAGCAGCATGGGTCCTATCTGCCTGTGGGAGTTAGCAATAGCTAATACACCCTCTGAGTCAGTGCCTTGAGGCCTGGCATCCTGCAGGAGGATATAGAACTCCATCTGGGACTGTTTGGAGTGTAAAAATTAGCTGGGATGGTGCTTGGAGCCTGCTGATTCCTTCCATGCAGCCTGGGAGCAGGCAGGCAAGTACTAAGAGGGTATTTTATGAAGACTCCCAAATCTGTCCAAACACAAAGCATCACAGTTGCAGCAAAGGCCATTTCTACTGTCAGATCCTTGAAACAGTGGTACATACTATTCGGGTGTAATTTCAGAAAACTAGATAGTGATGAGGAGTGCAGCCTGTGAGAGGAGTCTGTGGCTGGATCTGATTAATAGGTAGGTAGATTAATAAACCAGACAGGCTTCACTCCAGAATTCTGCTTCTAACAAGGTCCAACTTTGTTTTGTCTTCACAGTTCCACCAAAGATCTCCAATATCTCCTCGGACATCACCGTGAATGAGGGCAGTAATGTGACCCTGGTTTGCATGGCAAATGGTCGTCCTGAGCCTGTCATCACCTGGAGGCACCTCACCCCAACAGGTAAGATACCCAGCTGGACTTCACTGTGCTCACAATTTGTGAATGGTGCAGTAGTTTCTTTCTCTTCCAGCGTCAAAAGAAAATTTCAGTAGCAATACAGGCAGCTGTAGAAAAGTGGCAAGACTCTTAAACACACTTCAAGCTTGTTTTGCAGTGTGATTTCCCAGGCACAATAACCAAGTTTTCCAAGTGAACAAATGAAATTGCTTCAGTAGATGCTCTACAGAATTGGACCTGTAACTCTGTTTAGCTTTCTAGTCTTCATCTAGTTGTCCCACTCTCTACTGCTGGTAATGCACAGCACAATGGTGGAGACAAAATGATGCTGTTGCCAGACAGAGGGGGAAGGATTTCAACTGAGATACTACATAAAAGAGGTTCTCTCTAAAAACCATGGGATTTGCTTCCTACTGATTTGCCTTAGAAGGGAGAGGCAAACAGTGGTACAGATGATTTCATATTACTCTTCACTTTGGGAGACAGTCTTCTCATGTCTTGTGAGGTGAGTAAAGAAGGCATTTGATCTTCAAGGTGAGTGAAGAGCAGGAAGGAGACAGAACAAAGGAAAACTCACCATCTTTGTTCTGCTATCTAACTGTGCCTTCCATGTTCAAGGACGTGGCAAACTTGGAAGAAGAATATCCTTTCAGTAGTCAGACTCTGTGGGGTTAGCAGCTTGGGTTGCAAGGAAACCTTCACCCCCTAAAGATTTGTCAGTAGGATGGAAAGAAGAGGTAGGTTTCTCTTCCTCTGTATCATGTCATTTGAGGAGAGAACTCTTTAGCTGATTTCTTTTGCTATTAGATATTCTTTCATCTAAAATGCATGGGGAGATCATTGATTAGCTCCATATTAATGGTCTTCTGTGATACTCCCACATATGTAAAGGGTTAGAGAATTTGAGGTAGGCAGACTACAAGTATTTTGCATGTGCTACAGGCAGTCAAGCTCTCTACTCCAATTCGGTAGTCAGAAAAGGGGAGAATGCTGCAGAAAGAAGGTTGGAGAGAGAACGGTAGAATGACACGTTGGAACAGAGCTTAATCCAAGGGCTGCATCCAGAAGCCCCTGGATTTGGGGCCTGTGGTTCAAGTTGAGGTTACTCAGATTTCCTGGTTCATCTCTTCAGCCAAACCAAAGCCCTCCCGAGCTTTCATGTATACGAAAGCCAGATATGCAGTTTGCATTTCTGGGCCATGTCTTACAATGCCAAAAGAAGGAAGATGGGGAAAGACTGCTAGGAAGAGGTGAGAGAAGCAAAGCTGATGAGGGGAACACTACTCCTGTGTGGTAACATCATCACTACCTGATTTTTATCTTTTGCTTTTTGTGGTATTAAGCATGACTGTGCCATTTGCTTTTATAGGAAAATAGAGCCTATTTTTTTTCACCTTTAATTATGTATATAGACTCTTCTCGCTCTGGTATTTCTGTTCTTAAGGTTTATTTCATATCAAATCTTCCATCTTACTGCTGGATCAGTGTTTCAGTTCTCTGTCTCTTTCTTATATTCAAGTAGAAGATAGTCCCTATCTATTCCACGAGCACAGCCTAACATTGTCTGAGTTAAGGGCATTCCAAGTATGCTATCTTAAATCTTCAGGAAAGCTAAGACCTGGTACACATGAGATGCGTTGTTCAGAGCAGTAAGAAGATTCTTGTCCTAACTCATCACTTTGGCTGTTGGTGTTTTGTGGTTTTTTTTCAGTTGTATCGCTTACTCCCTTGTATCAGTTACAGACTTCTTTTCTCTCTTTTTAAAAGTCTTCTCAGAACAAATCTTCATTCTGGCTATCCCCTCTGGTGAGCAGCAGAACTGGAGAATCCCATTCCCACTTTGATTCTGGGGTCAGTTTTCAGGGATCTGTGGGTCAGTTTTCCAGCATGCCCCTTCACATTTTTCCTCCCATGCTGTGTTTCAGAGGTGTTGCCTTGTTAGCATCCCTCAGCACCATGTCACTGACTCCCTTCCAATCCCTCCTCAGTCCTTCTCCCCACAGTGAAGCCTGCCAAGTACCCCCTTCATAACCAACTAGAGGTTATGTTGAAGGGCAGGCAGCCCTCAGTCTGTCATCTCCATGTCTCACTGCTTGTTATTCTCTCTTTTTCTCTACATCTGAACCCATCTGCTATCTTTTATGGGTATAGAGGAACTGTTTTCAGGCAGACATCAGCAGCATGTAGCCCAGTAAGACACTTGTCCCAAAATGTGAAACAGAAGGGCTTCTTTTAAATGTTTTCCTTGAGGTTGACAATTAATATAAATTCTAAATCTATTCCAGAGCTGCTGCAGTTAGAAACACATCTTATCTTGGAATCTCCCTTTTCCAGAACTGCAAGGCATTTTGGCTCCATTTATATGAGTTTTGAAGACATCTGCTATGCATCAAAGAGCTATTTTAGATCATTGTAAAGGCTTCTAAAATATATCTCTCTCCTTGGATTCTTTTTGTGGTTAGACTCATGACTGCAGAACTGAAGAAGGAGTGTTATTGAGCTTGTGTGGGAGGTTTTGAATGGACAGGTAGTGAAATTAAACCAGCATTGGGGGGCAAGAAGGCCAAATTATTTTTTGTGTGTGCACTCTTCCTCAAGGAGTCCATTAGCTACTTTGTCTGCTGTTTCTTTCATTCATTGACTTTGTCGATAGTGTTTGTTGGCTAATTACACGAGTTAGGACCACAGAAATGATTTATTTCTTGTTAGCTGGGAAGATACAAATGCAAAGAGAAAGCAGGGTTGCTACTTCTGCAGAGAAGGCAGGGATGCATGTGATAGTTCATTTAAATGCTGTGATCATAGCCTACTCATCTGCCTATCTAGGAAGTTAAAAATTGATTTATAAAATGCTGTGTTGATTCCTTTGCTGGTCCTTCAGTAAGCAGTTGAACTAGGCATTTTTCTCATATCAACTATAAGTCCCCAGTCCCTGAAGCAGCCCATAAGAAAAAAACCTCTCCTAACCCTGTGAGATAGCTAAAGTGTGGCTGTGGTTGTCGACTGTAGCACTGACACCTGGAAGGAAGGCAGGTAAGGGGAAAAATATTTTAATAATTCTGATGGTGAATGACAATACAGATCAGCTTGAATTTAATACAGGAATGACTTGGAATGATGCAAGTCCTTGCTCTCCTCTTCCATTCCTCTTCAGATGGTTGACTGATTGGATTTTGACAGAGGAAGTGGAGAGAGTCACCAGACCCCTTTCTTCCTATTGTTCTGTAGGACATTGGCAAACTGGTCTAAGTAGTTGTGGATAACTTAACGGGCATTGCCTGAGAGCACAAACAGCTGCATTAGCTCTTCTCCTCCAGCCAGAAGTCCTTGCTCTCCTCTTCCATTCCTCTTCAGATGGTTGACTGATTGGATTTTGACAGAGGAAGTGGAGAGAGTCACCAGACCCCTTTCTTCCTATTGTTCTGTAGGACATTGGCAAACTGGTCTAAGTAGTTGTGGATAACTTAACGGGCATTGCCTGAGAGCACAAACAGCTGCATTAGCTCTTCTCCTCCAGCCAGCAGAGCTCTTTTCTGCTTCCAGCAGCAGGCCAGCACATTCCTCCCTGCTTACAGTCCAATCCCTTTCCTGTGGTTCAGGACACGGCTATAGGCTTGTTAAGCCACCATGCCCTATGACTTTTGCCATCCTAGTTTGTAATGGTAAGCTGTGGCAAAGACCATAGCAGCCCTTTGAACTGGATTTGTCAGGAAACTGTGATTTGTTCAGACAGAGTGGGGATGAGTATTAATGATGTCCATACAGACTGCATGAGTTAGTAGTTGTCAGCATTAGAGAGCTCGCTAGAGGATATGCTATAGTCTCTCATCTCTTGAAAGGGACAAAACCCAGACTCTTTGTACAAAGAGTGGGTGGGACCCTATTTTTTTATTCTCCTTAATATTAACTCATAACTTGCCTGATCCATGGCCCTCAAAGGTATAAATTATTTTGACCTCACTGAGTGCAGTAACCTCAAATATCCAGTAGCTGCACCACAGCCTGGGTGAGGTCCCAGCACAGGACCATATATCATTTATTGCACCAACATGGTCTATGCAGACTACTACAAGCAGCCTACCCATCTATGGCTATTTATGTTAGGGGGTGCTCTGTTTTCCCTGCACCATCACCAAGACAACAAGTAACATAACCGAGAAAAGAATCCAGTAAGATAGTTTAGAGATGATAGCCATTGCCTCCTTTCAAGCTCATCTTAGTTTTACTTCACGTCTTTATTGACTTATGTTTATTCAGGCTAATGTGACTTCTCCCTACCCATATGGTGCTGAGATCACAGTCCAGAGGCTTTATAATTTATCATTCCTCATCCCTCTGTCTTGTTCAGAGCCATGCTAGATGCCTGGTTGACAGAAAAAGAGCTTCCTGGGGAAAATAAAGATTCATATATGTTCATATTCTTATCAATAAACTGCCTCTCAATGGAAACCGTAAAGAGTGGCCTCTTGTGAATCAGGTTAGCAGCAATATGAACATGGAGAGTTGTTGCAAGGTCTTTGCATTACCAGACACCTTGCTTCCAATGCTTTTGCTGTGCATGGGCAGACAAATGCAGGAGAAAAATGCAGCTCTTGACCTGGGGAGATTGTACTCAAGCTCACAGGAGCAGTCCCACTCATGTTTCTGCTCCTTTACCACAAGGCATCAATGTGGCTTCCCAAGGGCCTTGCTCATGGGTGCTGTGGCAAGTGCCATGAGATTGGCACCCATGTGGATGGCAGCCTGAGAGGTGGGGGCAAGGAGACAAAGCTATATTGATCAAAGTTGAACAATTGAGGCTTTTACTGGCTGCGCATAACCAGCCGAGGAGCAAGCAATTCCATTTTCCTAGTGCAGCTACTGAATGTGAAACCTGTATAAAACTACTGGGTATCTCATTCGTGATCCAGCTCCCTTGGCCTCAGCCCAGCAAGGCCGCTTGATGGAGAAGAGAAACAGTCTGGAATATCCCAAATTCCACCTGACAGTTTAAAGATACCCAC